CATATTTTCCATCCCTGGCAATACCTCTTCATAATAGTTTCTCAGCAATATAAGGAAGAGACTCCTGTATGTACATACAGACCCACGTAGTCTTTACACCGTAGCTCAAGCGACCACCGTTCAAACTTTTTTCATTGGGTAGTGTTGACTTTGACTTGATGTTAATAAGCGTACCGAGTCTACGAAGTGGACCGTGGGACGGCGTCTTCCTCGTCTGATAATGGCTCTTCTCTAGTCTGGTCTGAAGGCTATCATGAAGCTCGTCTTATCAAAATAGCTTCTGGATATTACGCCAGATTTTCTCCCCCCTTAGCAAATCCCACTCGCTGAACGCACAAGTCTTTCATTACGTGATATTTGATGGGACTCAGTCGAGCAAATGATCCGGGATACTCCCCCCCCTCCCCTCCCCCAGTGTCGCGGGACCTCGCGGCCTGTTAGCGCGCCGCGCGTGGCACACCACAAGCCAAGACAACCCACGGTGGTCCACGAGGAAAACATCGCGTGTTTCCCACCTTCATCTTTATATCTGTGTAGCTGCACACGCGCGCCCGTCAGTGTGTACTCGTCTAGTTGTACTCACCTAGTTGTACTCACCTAGTTGTGCTTGCGGGGGTTGAGCTTTGTCTCTTTGGTCCCGCCTCTCAACCGTCAATCAACATGTGTACTGGTTCCTGAGCCTACTGGGCTCTATCATATCTACACTTGAAACTGTGTATGGAGTCAGCCTCCACCACATCACTTCCTAATGCATTCCATTTGTCAACCACTCTGACACTAAAAAAGTTCTTTCTAATATCTCTATGGCTCATTTGGGCACTCAGTTTCCACCTGTGTCCCCTAGTGCGTGTGCCCTTTGTGTTCAATAGCCTGTCTTTAGCTACCCTATCAATTCCTTTGAGAATCTTGTATGTGGTGATCATGTCTCCCCTAACTCTTCTGTCTTCCAGCGACGTGAGGTTTAATTCCCGTAGTCTCTCCTCGTAGCTCATACCTCTCAGTTCGGGTACTAGAATGGTGGCAAACCTTTGAACCTTTTTCAGTTTAGTCTTATGCTTGACTAGATATGGACTCCATGCTGGGGCTGCATACTCCAGGATTGGTCTGACATATGTGGTATACAAAGTTCTGAATGATTCCTTACACAAGTTTCTAAAAGCCGTTCTTATGTTGGCCAACCTGGCATATGTTGCTGATGTTATCCTCTTGATATGGGCTTCAAGGGACAGGTCTGGCGTTATATCAATCCCCCCCCCCAAGTCCTGTCTCTCTCTGACTCTTGAAGAATTTCATCTCCCAAATGATACCTTGTATCTGGCCTCCTGCTCCCTACACCTATCTTCATTACATTACATTTACTCGGGTTAAATTCTAACAATCATTTGTTCGATCATTCCTTCAGCTTGTCCAGGTCTTCTTGAAGCCTCAAGCTGTCCTCCTCTGTCTTAATCCTTCTCATAATTTTGGCGTCGTCAGCAAACATTGAGAGGAATGAGTCTATACCCTCTGGGAGATCATTTACGTTGACCAGACCACACGCTAGAAATTGAAGAGACGACGACGTTTCGGTCCGTCCTCGACCATTATCAAGTCGATGGTGATGAGACGATTGATTGATTGATGAAGATTAAGCCACCCAAAAGGTGGCACGGGCATGAATATCCCCTAAGTGGTGGCCCTTTTGAGCCATTACCAGTATCAAGAGCTGATATTGGAGATCTGTGGAGGTGCGGCTGCACCCTGCGTGACGGGAGATGTCTCCCGTAGGTGATGAGACGAAGGCAAGGACAATAAATAGGCAGGAGAAAGGTGAGGAGATGGATAATGGCTCAATGAGATAATAAGGATAATGGGCTCTGGATTTCCTTTTGCAATGTATATTTGAAACCTCACGTCACTTCCGGACCTCCTGATGGTAGTGGTGGTGGCAGGGATGGTTATATATAGGTGTTGGTGGTTGGTAGAGGTGGTAGTAGTTGTGGTGGTCGGTGTGGTGGTTGCGGTTGTAAAGGTGGTAGTAATGGTGGTAGTGGTGGTAGGGATGGTGGTGGTGATGGTAGGGATGGTGGTGGTGGTGGTGGCGGGGATGGTAGTGGTAGCGGTGGTGGTAGGGATGGTGGTGGGTGAGCAACGATCAATCACTTGGACTGGGAAAGCTACAAGTCTCACAGAAATTGTCCGTGGATTGATAGCGGTCGGCATTACCATCGGAACCTGATTCTTCCTGTCCTCTGCTCTCTCGTCTCTGGCAATCACGTCCCGGGATCTGCGGGAGGAAGGCGGCAGATGGAGGAGAAGAGGAAGAGGAGGAGGAGGAGGAAGAGAAGAGGAGGAGGAGGAAGGAGACGGGGTGGGTATCCAGAGTCGAAGAGAAATAGTGGGAGAAAGGAAGCGAGAGTCGGCGCGCGTATTATGGAATAGAGGAAAGGATGAGTCAGGAGGGGAGGATGGGAGAGGGAGGGAAAGGGAGGTTGGGTAGAGGTTAGGGAAGGAGGGAGAGGAAGGAGGAGGAGGAAACAAAGGAGCAAGGATAGACAGGACACTAGGGTTAGGAGGAGTGTAGACAAGAAAGAAAATAACAGATCAGAAGAGAATGGAAGGAAGAAGAAGGAGACGTAAAGGAAGAGGTGGATGGAGAAAGGCAAAGAAAGAGAATAACCAATCAAGAAATCATGGCAGAGAGAGGAGGAGGAGGGGGGAAGGGGAGAGAAGAAAAGTTTGAGAGTAGGGAAGGAAGTAGGTAAGGAAGAGGAAACATGAAGGAGGAGGATGAGGTAGGAAGGGAGGGGAGAAGGAGGAGGAGGAGGGAGAGGGAGGGCCGCTCCGATAACACGGAAGAGGCGGGTAAGCGGTCAGGCGAATCCAACTGTTTTTCGTCAGGCAATCAGCTCGTTTTGTGATGCCTGGACCATTGGTCTTCCTGGGGTGTATTAGGGCGGCCGCCGCCCACTCACACCCAACTCTTCCCTCAACACCAAAACATAAACTCACTCTTCCAGTTCTAAACTAGGACCGGCGGTAACAAAAATCTGAAATAAAAGCATACGAGAGTGGTGGTATTTCCAAGGCTCCATCGAGGCGCAATTCCCGGAACTGAATTGAAATTGAAGATCGGAACATTGGTAGCCCTGGCGAGGCTATCGTCAGGAGCGGGACATTGGTAGCCCTGGCGAGGCTATTGTCAGGAGCGGAACATTGGTAGCCCTGACGAGGCTATCGTCAGGAGCGGAACATTGGTAGCCCTGGCGAGGCCATCGTCAGAAGCGGGACATTGGTAGCCCTGGCGAGGCCATCGTCAGGAGTTTCTCAGTGATGGAAATGAAGAACCCAAGTGAATGGCTGCGGGGCTCCACTGTCCCCGGTAAGATGACTTCACTGGACGGAGTCGGCCAGAGAGTTTTGTGGTAAATGTGTGGCCGTCAGGGGTGTAGACCCGCAGGGGTGCGGGGGGAAGGAGACGGGGTTCCATCAGTGGTGTTGTCCAGCAAGGTTTTGGGTCGGGGAAGGGCCGTGAGCAAGGAGTCTCAGCAGGAGTGGTAAGAGCCATTAGTGGGGCAGCTCAGCTTAAGGTGGTGGTTGAGAGGAGTCGGAGGCATCTATAGGGAGTACACCAGCTTGGATGGGGTATTGAAGGGGTAGGTTTGGGGCCCGTCAGTCGACGATCTCAGCTAAGTTGTGGGTTGGGGAAGGGGGTGCTCAGGCAGAGTGGGGGAACTGACAGCGGCGTAGATCAAATTGCTGCCGGAAGTGGCTAGTTTATTGTGCACCTCATTCTCATCCTGTGAGCGGTAGCGCAAAAAAGGATTACAGAGGGCACAAAAGGTCTTTATCAGACCTCAACGGAGATTATTACATTAAGAACTAAACCTATCCTGCTCACCTTATAGTTATACTGTCAGCAAGTAAGAGAGATTACTCCAATTCAATAGCTATGTATTTACAGTTAATTATTATACATTTATTATACATTTATCTTTTCGCTAATACATAATTTACTTAGCTATGGAAATATAAATATTACAGGGTCAGAGGAAAGCTGCTGTTTGTTATTATTAGTCCAAAACCTTCGGAATTTTAACTTTATGTCAGAACTGCTGTGCATATTGGCTTTGTCCATCATACTAGTGTTACCTGCTACTCCTTCAGTCTGACTGTATCCTGTGTATGATGAATGAACTTTTGCCTAAATAAAATATTATTATTATTATATCTTTAGCAGGCTGAGGACTTTATCCTCGTGTGCTGGTGGTAAACCATACACCTACTGGTTTTCCCTGGAACACGATCCGCCAATCGGTTTACTCCCAAGTAAACCGACTGGGAGTAAAGTTTACTCCCAATGCTGCCGAGTGAAGAGGGGGAGAATAGTTCTGGATTGGTCCCCGAGTCAATCTTTCCCTGGTTGTCATGGAGCGAGTGTGTGGGTGTATCACATTTGTGGTGACTGTATTTACTATGTGTAATTGTATTTACTATTTGTACCTGCAGATTCAAGGTGTTAGTCTTGGACTTCGCCTTTCTAACTGTCGGTTGTTTAATGTACAGACTCACGACGTAGTTTCTCCTTCATATCTATTATGTATCTCTCTTTCTCTCTCTCTCTCACATACACACATCCCAAGGATGCAGCACACAACAGCTTTCTAACTCCCTGGTATTTATTTACTGTTACGTGAACAAAGGATCTGGTGAAAGGAAACGCTGCTAAATTGTTTCTGCTGCTGTCAGGACTTGTGTATGTGTGTGTGAAGTGATTCATTGCTAGACTACGCTTCTCTCTCTCTATCTCCCTCCCTCTCTTTCTCCCGTCCTCCTTCTCATCCCCCTCTCTCCCTCCCTCTCTCTCTCTCTCTCTCTCTCTCTCTCTCTCTCTCTCTCTCTCTCTCTCTCTCTCTCTCTCTCTCTCTCTCTCTCTCTCTAATTATAATTGATTTGGCAGATGGACTTAACCTGTGCCAGGAATTAAGGATGTTAACACCGAGCAGTTACTGCAGGCCATGATGAGAGGTAGATGGATCCCTCTGGTGTCGTGGTGCAGTAACCCAGCAGTGTCAGAGCTGGGGTGCCAGGGCTGGAGTGCCAGGGCTGGAGTGCCAGGGCTGGAGTGTCAGGGCTGGAGGCCAGGGCTGGAGTGCCAGGGCTGGAGTGCCAGGGCTTGGGTGTCAGGGCTGGAGTGCCAGGGCTGGAGTGCCAGGGCTGGAGTGCCAGGGCTGGAGTGTCAGGGCTGGAGTGCCAGGGCTGGAGTGCCAGGGCTTGGGTGTCAGGGCTGGAGTGCCAGGGCTGGAGTGCCAGGGCTGGAGTGCCAGGGCTGGAGTGTCAGGGCTGGAGTGCCAGGGCTGGAGTGCCAGGGCTGGAGTGCCAGGGCTGGAGTGCCAGGGCTGGAGTGCCAGGGCTGGGGTGCCAGGGCTGGAGTGCCAGGGCTGGAGTGTCAGGGCTGGGGTGCCAGGGCTACGGTGCCAGGGCTGGAGTGTCAGGGCTGGAGTGTCAGGGCTGGAGTGTCAGGGCTGGAGTGTCAGGGCTGGAGTGCCAGGACTGGAGTGCCAGGGCTGGAGTGTCAGGACTGGAGTGCCAGGGCTGGAGTGCCTGGACTGGAGTGTTAGAACTAGAGTCATTACAACATACAAGAGGCAGCTATAGCACGCGCCCGTAGCAGCACACACAGGCCAGAACACTCCCCAACACCCACAACGCCTCCAAGGCCTGGGGGAAATATATAACCACACCCATAACAAACAATTAGTGTAAGTTAAGGCATCCTTGGGAGTTCTCAGGCATCAAGGAATTCATTAAGAAAATTCTTGGATCAGCAGAAGTGAAGTTAATTTCCTTAGACAGGACCTAAACCAGAGAATATTGGGCCGACCTCCGAGAATAACTTAGACCATTACTGCGCCTAGGGTATATTAGCGTATTTACATACGCTAATAAATGTTTGTTATCAAGGTTTATTAGAGGTAAAATTTACCAGGAAACACAGGCTTGAGAATACGTGTTGCCATATTGCGGGCAATATTTTCAGGTTATTAAGACGGGGTAATGGGCTGGCGGGCGATGTGTTGCCCACTCACCATCACTCACATGATGCATGCTCCCCCGCTCTCTCTACTCCCCCTAATGTGCTCACATGTATATGCTTGTAGGTGTGTGTATTCACCTAGTTGTATTCACCTAGTTGTGTCTGAAGCTGTGTAAATAAGTCGCTTCAACAACATCTTCTTTAATCCCGTTGTATTAGTGTTCAGTTCTTGCGATAAAATACTTCTTAACGTCTTTGTGATTCATTCCCGTTTATAGTTTCCATCAATGTCATCTTTTACTCAGTCTGACGGTTGCTGCTTTGTTGAATCCTCTTTAAATCTTGTAAGTCAGACTGTCCACCAGTTTTCGAACGTAGTAAGGCCCAGTCCTCCGCGCTAATTTCTTATAGCAGGGGTTCTATTTCGGGGCTGCATAATACAGACTAGCTCTCACATACGTTATATAAAGTAATCTGAAAGCTTTTCCTAGCTACAGGTTTCTGAAATTCGAACATATACCAGACCTGAACCGAAGCCGTGGATGAGTGACTCTAATTTCTCTAAAATGTTGTTCCATGAGTGTCTCCTGGCACCTCCTGGCTCCTTCAGGCGCTCCCTGGCACCTCCTGGCACGTCCTGGCTCCTCCAGGCGCCTCCTAGCACTTCCTGGCTCCTCCTGGCTCCCGGCACTAAGCTTTAACTTGCCTATCCTCTGATAACTCTCAGATCCACTCCCCCTTTTCCAGAGTCTGGAAAACAGCGTCCAGTGAGTGATCCTATGGAACCCTGGACCAAATGCTGATAAAGAGGAGACTATCGAGAGTGGTGATCAAGGGCCCCCCTCACCAGGCAGCCCCCCCCCCCCACACCAGGCAGCCCTCCTCACACCAGGCAGCCCCCCCCACACCAGGCAGCCCCCCCACACCAGGCAGCCCCCCCACACCAGGCAGCCCTCCTCACACCAGGCAGCCCCCCCCACACCAGGCAGCCCTCCTCACACCAGGCAGCCCTCCCCCACACCAGGCAGCCCCCCCACACCAGGCAGCCCCCCCACACCAGGCAGCCCTCCTCACACCAGGCAGCCCCCCCCCACACCAGGCAGCCCCCCCACACCAGGCAGCCCCCCCACACCAGGCAGCCCTCCTCCACACCACTCAGCCCCCCCCCCACACCAGGCAGCCCCCCGCTGGTCACTCTTCACCTGCCTGACACATGACTTATGGCGCCTCCATCACCTTACCCATCACCAGTTTTCAAGTGAATTGCCTCCCCCGTGGAGAGCTTTTACACACAGTTGATGTCTCTCAGCTGGTGGAGACCGACCCATTCACACCTCCAACGCTCACACACCGAATGTTGGCAATAATTCATTATGATATTAGAATGACTTTTAATATGATCGATCTCTGTTATTGTGGTGGTGGTGGGTCTGTTGTGGTGGTGGTGGGTCTGTTGTGGTGGTGGTGGTGGTGGGTCTGTTGTGGTGGTGGTGGATCTGTTGTGGTGGTGGTGGTGGTGGGTCTGTTGTGGTGGTGGTGGATCTGTTGTGGTGGTGGTGGGTCTGTTGTGGTGGTGGTGGTGGTGGGTCTGTTGTGGTGGTGGTGGATCTGTTGTTGTGGTGGTGGTGGTGGTGGGTCTGTTGTTGTGGTGGTGGTGGTGGTGGTGGTGGGTCTGTTGTGGTGGTGGTGGTGGTGGTGGTGGTGGGTCTGTTGTGGTGGTATTTAACAGTTACGATTAAACACTTAACTTAGTCAGATGAGAAAGATATAGCCAGGTAAGGCTAAATAGTTAACTCTCGTCTATAGAGGAGGGCTGTATAACCAGCATGGGTAATTACCATTACAACAGGCACCAGTATAAGGTATAGGGCAGGGCAGTATATGGCAAGGGGGGAGGAGCAGTATATGGCAAGGGGGAGGGCAGTATATGGCAAGGGAGGAGGGCAGCGACTGCCGGAGGCCTCGCTCCTGTAGGAGCTAAATGACCGCCAAGTCCCAGAGTTGTCAGCTATCCAATAAAGTAATTAAGATTTAATCGGCTCTTGTTCCACAGTATCTTAAGGACTCAGAGACAACCAGTGATAATATACCCGTCCCCCTGCCTCGCCCCGTCCCCCTGCCTCGCCCCGTCCCCCTGCCTCACCCCGTTCCCCTGCCTCACCCCGTCCCCCTGCCTCGCCCCGTCCTCCTGCCTCACCCCGTCCCCCTGCCTCGCCCCGTCCTCCTGCCTCATCCCGTCCCCCTGCCTCGCCCCGTCCCCCTGCCTCGCCCCGTCCCCCTGCCTCACCCCGTCCCCCTGCCTCACCCCGTCCCCCTGCCTCACCCCGTCCCCCTGCCTCACCCCGTCCCCCTGCCTCGCCCCGTCCCCCTGCCTCACCCCGTCCCCCTGCCTCACCCCGTCCCCCTGCCTCACCCAGTCCCCCTGCCTCACCCCGTCCCCCTGCCTCACCCCGTCCCCCTGCCTCACCCCGTCCCCCTGCCTCGCCCCGTCCCACTGCCTCACCCCGTCCCCCTGCCTCGCCCCGTCCCCCTGCCTCGCCCCGTCCCCCTGCCTCGCCCCGTCCCCCTGCCTCACCCCGTCCCCCTGCCCCGCCCCGTCCTCCTGCCTCGCCCCGTCCCCCTGCCTCGCCCCGTCCCCCTGCCTCGCCCCGTCCCCCTGCCTCACCCCGTCCCCCTGCCTCGCCCCGTCCCCCTGCCTCGCCCCGTCCCCCTGCCTCACCCCGTCCCCCTGCCTCGCCCCGTCCCCCTGCCTCACCCCGTCCCCCTGCCTCGCCCCGTCGCCCTGCCTCGCCCCGTCCCCCTGCCTCGCCCCGTCCCCCTGCCTCGCCCCTGGCCCTCACCCCCACAGCTGGTGGCACAAGAGCCTCGATCCACTCGATGACAACCCCGCCCCACAATACATAACTGCCCTCTTCCTCAGGGATAATAAACTCACCGATCACTATCACACACAGGAGTTGGGAACGAGACAGACGGTAACTAGATAATTACCTTCAAGTTCGGGTTAATCCTTAATAAAATGTTCCTTTTGAAATTAGTATATTGGCTGTACACCGTGACCAGCAAACATGTTCAGTTCGCAGGCGATGAGTCACAATAACGTGGCTAAAGTATGTTGACCAGACCACACACTAGAAGGTGAAGGGACGACGACGTTTCGGTCCGTCCTGAACCATTCTCACAATCGACTTGAGAATGGTCCAGGACGGACCGAAACGTCGTCGTCCCTTCACCTTCTAGTGTGTGGTCTGGTCAACATGTTCAGTTCGTTCACTGGGGTTTGCTTGGACAAGCAGGCGTCTGGAGGAGAGCTTATAGCGTCTTCCCCGTTATTAATGAGGTTATGTTGCAGCTTCCAACACCTGAAGAACTCCTGTGGAGCAACACAGACATATACCCCTTGATGTTGTCGCATCTTGCAACACCCGCAGGACGCCTCTGCAACACAGTGTTCCTCGCTGACATTGCAATAATAAGGTGTGCAGGTTAGAGGGAATTGTTCATGTACAATTCTCGGCTGAGGTCGGGTTATAGTCATTTGTGCCCTCTGTAATCTCTTGTATTTGTGCCTCGCTTCAGACGCGCGAGCATGTTACAGTTGTGTCTTCAAGAATTAAGAGCAATTAAGAGTGATAAATAGTAAGTAATTGTCAAAAGAAGGCACCAAGCCGGGAATGCTATGTAGCACCATCAAAGTGCGAAATAATCAGAGGGCGCTAAATATCAGAATGATAAATAATTACTTTCAATTAATGTATCAAGTTTTGTAGACGTACACATTTCAGTGCAAGGATCAAGGCAAATAGTTCGGTCTGAAGGGTAGATCAGGCCCAGTTGTTTATACGGACTCCCCCACTCAAAATATAAGCCATCGCCCATTGTCAGGACAACTGCCCTTCCAGCTGCACCTGTGGGGCGGTGTAGGGAACCATCAGTGTAAATGATCTGAGAGGGAGAGAATGCTCTGTGGACAGAACATCAATATGGCTTTAAGGCGCTGAGCTTTGCCTCAAGACGAAGCTAGGGCTAATCTCTAATTTGCTTCTTGGGTGGAAAGGGAGGGATTAAAGTTGGAAAGGGTGTAATCTCACAGGTGCAAGAAAGTGCCCTTGTTGTCTCTCTTGGTACAAATTGTAAATCTGATAATAATCTGATAACAAATCTGATAATCTGATAAACCTTCCTTTAAGGAAATTCTGGAGGGCTTTGATGCAAGGGTTAGGATGAGCTAGCCTTAGCATTTTTATACCAATTAAACTATGTCAGTAACACGATCAAAGACGTTCGGAATATTAAGTTCGTTTCTTGTGTTAAGTACTTTTATGGGAGGGGGGCTGGGAGGGGGGAGGGGGGAGGGGGGCGGGGAGCACAATAAACTAACCGCCACTAGCGGCAACAACCACAAAATCTAGCGAAGATGTTGCAGGTTGCAACACGTGCAGAACACCTGCCGGGCAACACAACAAACATCTTCCACAAGACGAGGAGCCAGACGAGGAGGGCAGCGGTAAGTGTTGTCCTTATTAGCCTGTGATTTATGACGCCCATATAACTGCTGGCGATAACCTGTTATACCCCGTGGCC